AAACAAAAATATTTTTATTTGTGGAAGTGCTTGTTTCTGATTATAAAATAGCTCCAATCTTTCCCAAAGATGCAATTTAACTGCCAAAAAGGCCGGAGTGCCTCATAAAATAAGACGTATTTAAAATGGTCAGTATAACTGCTTGATACCACATCTCCACGCTCCCAAGCATCTGCGACTCCAAACTACAGCCCTTTCTCACTCTTACACCAAAACAGAATTGGGAAAAAAAGATTTGTATTATCACTCTCCTCCACTAGACTATAAACTTTACAGAAGCGCAGGCATCACGTCTGTTTTTGTGGATCACTGTATCCCTAACACCCAAGGACAGTCTCTGCATATAGTAGGTAATTAATAAATCTGCCTCAAGAATGAAGAAAGAATAAATCATGAATGTTAACTGGGTAAAAGTGCACCTTACCTTTTGGGTCTACTGTTTTAGGATTTTTTTAAAAGCAACAGTTTCTGTTTTGGGGTCATTTTTACAATCTAGCATAAAAACAATCATATATTGTCCATCACTACATGATTTTACTTCTAAATGTAGACTGGATGGCCGTAGGGCATGAGTAGTAACCCTTTTACTCTCAATCCTAAAATACAATTAGGAAGGTTAATTTGCTACTAGAAAAGAAAAACTATGTTTCAAAAGAAAATTATTTCTACATTTTCTTTTTATTGGATTATCTATAGCCTGTTGAACAGCCCTCCTTCCACTAACTTTGATAATCAGAAGTTAACCCAATAGTGAAATTCCTTTAACTAGAGGACCATGATTTACCCACAATATAATAAAAGAAGACATATGAAGGAAACCACTAAAGATTTTTTCCTAAGTAACTCATGATACAAAAGAAACCAATATAAGATAAATATGTGGAAATTTTCTGTGAAATATTTTACTTTTGGAAAAAATGTCAAAACCATTTCAGCAAATAATAAATACAAAGTGCTTTGCTGCAAAATATTTTACTAACATGTGGCATACTATGTTCTATAACCTATAATGTACACATCTGCTCCACTGAACACATTGTAGGACTCTGAGAATGCTATAGTAATATTAAGTAATCTGTAAACCTTATCTGTAGAAACTAATGATATACTGTTATAAATATTAAGTGTGTCCTTGATATGTATTTATAAATAGTAATACCACTATTTGCTTACCACAGCTACCAACACGGACAACTGTATTAATGACTCAAAATACTATGAGTGGTGTTGCCATCAGTTTTCTAATTTTCCAAAGCAGTGAAAAACTCTTAATAAAGTTCTGGTGAAAAGTGAAATCTTCCCTAGATATATACATGTGCTAACCCACTGCACTGACAGTCTCAATTAATGGCTTCCCTGTATCCATGCCCTGTGCCCTGTAACTTGGTAATCCCCTCCCACTCTGATTCTGGCTTTGCAGCATGACTTTCTTTGGCAATAAGTTGTTCACAACTGTAACGTGAGTATGTAAAACAGATTTAAGTTACACATGGAGAAGACTGTAAACAGGTTTTTCCCATATAAATGTCTGGAGGAACATTCAAAGCATGTGGAATGTAGGTTAATTTTGTTCAACACACTGTGAGTCATGCAGTAACCATGGTGCTTGCCTGGTTAAGCCAGCCAACACTCCCAATCGTGACAACCACGCAGGCCCCTCAGAACACTGAAACTTCCCAGTGCAGACAAAAGATCCAAGACTGCTGCCAGTCAATATACTTTCAGATCTTTTAACTTCTGGAACACTCATCTTCAGACATGAACCCACTCAGGCATAAGATGCATAATAGTGCCTTTTTAATGCAAAATTTATGTGCTTGAGTATGGTCCTTTCCAAATTACTGAAAGATGACACACAGTTGAAATATGGCAACATATTTTGAAATAAAAAAGTAAGATCTGTATACATTTCTCTACGCATGTTATACTTAAGATTTAAATGTTTAAATAAGATAAATAAAGCACTTGCGCTTGAAGTCTATAAAGCTTTTTTATTAAGTTGTACCAACTGTCCTGCACCTCATAATATGAATTCTCACCTTCAACTATCTATTAAGTTTTTAAGAACACAGATACTACTAATATTGTAAAGAATCAAATATACCTAGTCCAATATTTTGGTTCTAAGATGTCCAAAGGCACACAAGAAGGTATGTTTGTCTTCCTTAACAATACCCAAAAGACTGATATATTTTCTAGCAGTAAGAATACTGCAAATTTCCCTTTTTCTTTGTGCACTGTGTTTGCCCTGCCTTCAATATCTTTTCCTGCCAGCATAAGTCCTAGTCACCCTCAAACACCAGCAAATGTTTTACCTCCTCTGTGAGATCATCCCAATCCTCTCCTTTTCACCAACAGATTGAATCCCTCCTACACATAATTTCTGAAACTTTTTATTCTTATCATTAATTATCTCACACCATGTTATAATTTGGTACAAACCTGTCTCACCAAGTAGGCTGTGAGCTTTATGTCAGCTAAGCCTGTGTGCCACATCTGTAACCGCAACTACACTACCTAGCACAATGACTATCACAGTGAGTACTTTAAATGGCCTATGTGAATTTGCATGACTCCTTTTAGGGTCTAAGATTCATGAACCCCTTCCAGTCATCTCTAATTTTGATATTTTGTTTTTACTTTTTGATATAATGAGTTACCTAATTCAAGTATGTCCTTTCATATATCCTAAATTTATTTTACAGTCTTAAAAAATGTTCCTTCAGGGACTGGCCCCGTGGCCAAGTAGTTAAGCTTGTGTGTTCCGCTTCGCTGGCCCAGGGTTTCCCTGGTTTGGATCCTGGGTGTGGACATGGCATCACTTATCAGACCATGCTGAGGCTGCATCCCACATAGCACAACCAGAAGGACCTACAACTAGAATATACAATTATGTCCTGGGGAGCTTTGGGGGGAAGAAGAAGAAGAAGAAAAAAGAAGATTGGCAACAGATGTTAGCTCAGGTGCCAATCTTTAAAAAAAAAAAGTTCCTTCAGAAATTTTGCTGTATGTGACAACATAGATGAACCCTGAGAACATCATGATAAGTGAAATAAGCCAGTAACAGAAGAACAAATGCTGTATCATTCCACTTATATGAGGTATCTAAAATAGTCAAACTCAGAGAAGCAGGAAGTAGAATGGTGGTTGCCAGAAACTGGGAGCAGGAAATGGGTAGTTGCTATTTAACAGGTATTAAGTATAAAGTTCAGTTATGCAAGATGAATAAGCTCTAGAGATCTGCTGTACAACACTACGCCTATAATTATCAATACTGTATTTTACACTTAATATTTTTTTAAGAGAGTAGATCTCATGTTAAGTGTTGTTACCACAATTAAAAAAGAAAAGTTCCTTCAATCTCAGTTTTGGGACCAGTCTCTACCTAACCTTATCTACTGACAAGTTCAAATACTTCTACTTACTTCTCCAATGGACTGTTACCTTTCCAGTTCTGTTACTCTGACTTTATCTATTGTCATTAGATTCTTAATCTAAGAACAATAAATATTCTTTTATTTCTGACTCCATTCTGATGTCCAATATTTTGCAAACTAGGCCAACATCCTAAGAAAGTAATTTAAATTTTGCCCTGCTAGGCAAACCCCAAACTTTATACAAATAGTTCTAACTGTATTTTAACCCATAAACATACAATTCTATACTTACTGTCACTACAAACCTTCTGCCCTTTCATCTAGCTTTAGATTTTCCTGTAATTTATCCACATCATTCTGGAAGTTGATTACTCAAAATAATTTTTTATCAGCAAAGTTTGGAGACTTCAAAGTGTGGTCACTTCTCTAAATAATGTATTTAAAAATATTTTATAAATTTGAATTTACACTTCACTATTTTAGAACCAAAAACACATGCACATCACAAGTAGGTGAATAAGTTTAAGATAATATTATCAAAATGCCAGGAAAAAGGAGAGGCAGAGGACAAAATGCTTGCATACATCTTCTGAAGGTGACAGAGAACACTGAAACTAATAAAATCTTACAACTTCTTTTCTCTCTCATATCAAAAATATGCAACCGGAATAGTATAACTAAAGTAATATTTCTTTTTTAGGAAGTGGTAAGATTCTTCCGTGAAATAATAATGGCTATTAGTAATCAATTGGGTTGAGTGGCTCATCCCTACCCCAAGATTATAAAACATACCCGCCTTCTTCATTAATTTTATAGTTTTTTAAAATATTAGATCACCACTTCTACTAATAGCAAAACATGAAGCTAAAAACAAGAAAGCAAACAGAGTGGAATTACTGAAAGCCCATTAAAGCAGAGTAGAAGGGAAAAGTTCCGCTCCAAATCTTTATTCTATCAGGTTCCCCATGACCCCAGGCTGCCTGCGCAGAACTACTAATGCCCTCCCTACCAAGCCCCTGCTCAATATTAAACACCACATATACGTACAAAGTCAAAAATGTAGTAAGACAACAGGAGGGGACCTCATGTGAAAGCTGATCACACAACAGCCTAACAAAAGTTTACCATAATACTCTTTTTTTTTTTGTCTAACAATTACTCCAATACTAGATATCCTCCAAAAACACCTTCTATATTCAATACTGGTTTTTTTTTTATGAGGAAGACTGTCCCTGAGCTAACATTTGTGCTGATTTTCCTCTACTTTGTATGTGGGATGCCACCACAGAATGCCTTGATGAATGGTGTATAGGTCTGCACCACCCATGGTCTGAACCCGCAAACCCGGGGCCACCAAAGCAGAGCACCACTATGCCACCAGGCCAGTCCTAAAACACCAACGAATTTTAAACACATACGTTTCACTTCAAGTTTAAGGTAAAGTATTTATGTAGTACACACTAATTCTAAATAATTATTAAATGAGTACATTCTCTAAAATATCTAAATATAGAATATAAAAATAACCATTTTTAGACAGTGAAATTCACCATTCTAAACAACTTATTAAATCTTATTAAAATGACTGCCAACAAAAAAGCTGAAAATTGTAAAAACACTTACTTCATTTCCATGTTTTTGCAGAAATTCAATTTCCTGTTGTGTGAATGTTGTCATGGAGATAGACTTCACCCTGTGCGGTGGATTTAACCCTCGCCTAAAAGATAAAATATTTTACAAATTTACTATTAGATGCTACATTTTAAAAATTATACATCAATACAAACTATTTTTCATTAGCATATTTAAACTTGGAACAGTGCCTTCATTCCATAAACTAAAAGTATTTAAAAATTATTTTAAACTATTAATCCCCACAATACATATTTCCAGGGAAGTTTGGCTAGACCCACACTAAATAATATATTTAAAAATAAATTCAGGGGCCGGCCCGGTGGCGCAGCGGTTAAGTTTGCACGTTCCGCTTCTCGGCGGCCCGGGGTTCGCTGGTTCGGATCCCGGGTGCGGACATGGCACTGCTTGGCAGCCATGCTGTGGTAGGCGTCCCACGTATAAACTAGAGGAAGATGGGCACGGATGTTAGCTCAGAGCCAGGCTTCCTCAGCAAAAAGAGGAGGACTGGCAGTAGTTAGCTGAGGGCGAATCTTCCTCCAAAAAAAAAAAACAAAACAAAACAAAAATAAATAAATAAATAAATAAATAAATTCAAGCGACTACCTAGTTAGGAAGACATAGGACCTGTAACATACGAGCTTCTAGGAAAAACAAATATTGCTTTAGCGTGTTTCTCATGGTGGAAGAAGCCTATGTGAAGAGCTCTATGGTAAAGAATTGAAAAAGAATTATTTAAATATTTTCATACTTCCTAAGAGAGTGATGATGATATGTTAAGTTTTGAGCTATACAAATATTCTCATCAAATAGCTACTACCTTTAAGTTTGAGGTTAATTTAGAAAATTGAAAACTAACCCAAGGAAACCTGAAGTTATTAACCAGTAAGAATAAAGCCCCATCTCTCCATCAATTCAAATAAGGATTTATAATAAAGAACATTTTTTTTTTTTAGGAAGATTAGCCCTGAGCTAACATCTGCCGCCAATCCTCCTCTTTTTGCTGAGGAAGACTGGCCCTGAGCTAACATCCGTGCCCATCTTCCTCTACTTTAAATGTGGGACGCCTGCCACAGCATGGCTTGCCAAGCGGTGCCATGTCCGCACCTGGGATCTGAACCGGCGAACCCCAGGCTGCCGAAGCGGAAGGTGCGCACTTAACCACCGCACCACCAGGCCGGCCCCATGAACATTTTTAATCTCCTCACGAGGCAGTAAGTGTTCAAGAGAAAACTAGGGACATGGAGAAGGGATTCGAGGACTAGATGGATGTACGATTAAATGACTTAAGGTCCTTTACAACCTTGAAGCCTTTTCTGTATAGATTGCCTTAAGAGGACTTAAGTTTCTTGATGATGTTTTATCATGCACATGAAAAACTGAATAGAAATGTACTCAGAAAGAGTAAGAACTATTTACACTTTGTCCAACTATCACAGAGTGGCCTACTCGAGCCACAAGAATAAGAGATAAATAAACTATGCAAAGTAACAAATAAACTGCACAGTTTCATAAAGTGACTCTGGAGTCATGTCCTCTGGTAAAGGCCTCATTTGGAATCCAAGTTCTAGAGCAGACTTTTTACAGAATTTGTCATAGGCATCCTGCAATCATTCATGCTAACTAAATGAGAGATTTAACAATGAACCAACTCTTACAAAAGTATTCTGGAAACATTTTTGAACAATTATAGTGTATAATATTCTAGAAATTCACAATATTTTAAGTCAAAATAACATGGAGAATTCAGAATTAACAGAAGCTCAATTTTCATATCCTGTTGCTTCTTTCTCTCCATTCTGTCAAAGAGATGGCACACCTTTCAGATCACGCTTTGAATTACAACACATTGCACTTTCTCTTTCACGTTTCAAAGTGGAGAAACGTTAAGTTGGGTTGTTGTTTTGGTTTGCTTTGTTTAAATTTTAAACTAATAAATTATTTTCCTTCTAGCTCTTGGTAAGTCATAAAATACAGAAATAAAGATTGCACAGAAGGGAAAATTTAACACAGCAACTTCATCCTAGTAAAACTTTCAAACTACGCTATGAAGAAACAGCTAAGCATGAATTACTTTCAAGAAGCTTTACAACTTGCAATCACAAATAAGGCTTTAAAGATACCTTCTAAATTTCCAAAAGCAAAAATTTAGGAAAAGTCATTATTATTTATTTAAAGTATGACACTCGTTTTCCAATTCATCCATATTATGAGAACAAAACTAAATTCACCATTTTCAGGGAAGCTTATTAATTTATGATATGTACTTGCACCCTACTTTGCTCAAAAACAATTTCAGAAGGAATTAACTTGTTATTGTTCTCTCAAATTCCTCTATTCCCTCCCTCTCAGTTAGCAACATCTCTCCTTGTCCCCTAATACCTCCTCCTTGTTCTAGCCAACCCTTTACCTTTCCACCTCCTTTACAGTATCCTTTTTAAAAATGCAAATGGCATAGGAATTACTTTCTGATGAGAAAATGTCAAACACTGTTACAAGGGGGTATGTTTTGAATAAGAAATTTTGGAGCAAAAAGTTATACCTCTATACTTCTCAAATCATCAAATGAGGAAACTCCTCACTCTTTTAAGTTATAGTATATGTATGTAATCTCATGAAAGCAGTACAGTGTATAGCTTATTCATTCATATATCTCAAGGCCCTACCATATTACAGAGTCCATTTATGCATAAAGAAGGTACTCATATTTCTCAAATAAGTGAACAAAATTTTGAACTTATGAAACAAATACAACCAAAACGTATTCATAACCAAACTACGTAGGGACATTTTCCTCCACTTAACAAGAACACCTATTACAAGATTTCTTTTTATGAGCCTCTCAGTGAACTTAAAATAGGACTTGATTTACGAAACTGGTAGACACAATTTTGCAAGGCTACGTTAACTACATTAATGGTGTAACTCCCAGGAAATGTTACATTTGTTCATGTTGCTTCCTCTAATCGCTCTTTTATGTTTCATTTACTCAGATTAACTATATTCTCATGCAAGGATATACAAGGATTTTTCCTTCTTTAGCCTCCCAAAAGCTTTGTACATGGATATTACATGCTATTAAAATAGTCTGGCAAAAGAACCAAAGATTGACCATCAAACTCTTAAGTAGAATGCAAAATGATGAGTATGCAGTGAATATAGGTAGTCTCATACACTGATGACGGGATAAATTCACCAATTTGTATCAGGAACCTCATTCATGCCTTCTGACCCAGTAATATCCTTTTAGGAATCTGAAACATAGCTAGCTAACTATGTACAAGATGTTCATCAAACATGATTCATAATAGGAAAACATCAGAAACACTTCAATACCAAAGGGAAGTGGTTAAATAAATAACAATAAAACTGTACAACATCATGCACACTTATGTTTTAATTTTTTTAAGATGAAAATTATATAGTATTCTCAGACCTACATTAAAAAAACCTGCCAAGACAAACCAAATACCCCAAAGTATTAACAATCCTTGCATACAGATGATGAGACTGAATTTCTTTTTCTATTTATAATTTTCTATTCTCTCCAAGTATTCCACAACGAATCTGTATTACTCTACAATAGAAAAAAGTAGTAAGAAATAGGAAAGTCCAACTGATTACAAGTAGTAGTCAAAAAACTTGGACTTTAAAATTTGTATAGAATATGTATATTAAAACCTAAATTAGGAAAGACTACAGAGAATGACATCAGCAACATGGCAGAGTGAGCTGTTCCCTTTATCTCTTTTCCTTCAAACTACAATCAAATGGCCATTCACTGACCAACAGAGGATACCCACACAGCACAATAGGAAGCCTAAAGACCTGCACAGCTATATATCTGAAGGTTGATGGATTACCCACAGGGAGATGGTGGAGGTAGGTGAGCACTCTCTAGCTCCCTGGCAGCCCTGTGCATTCATGCAACTGCTCTCCCAGACGGATTGCCCATAGCACTGCTGCGGCCCAGAGGGTGGGAGCGCACCTCAGCATGACTACAAGAACCCGTGACAGCAGCCCTGAGCCCCTGCATGATCACTTTCCCATCCACTGGGAGAGCCCACAGTGCCGCCACGGTCCTAGGGAGTAGCCCAGGCTTGGACCTAGTGGGGAGGCCCTGCCCACCAAGCATGACAGCTAGTGCAACCTAGGAAGAGGCAGTGGTGGATCTGCGCACCCAGGCAAACACCTTCCCAGCTGCCAAGAATACCCATAGTACCACTGCAGTCCCAAAGGTAGAAGCGTGCCTTGGCAGGACCATGGGAGCAGGCAGTGGCAGCCGTGAGCCTCCGTGTGATGGCTTTCCCATTTGGTGGTAGAGCCTACACTGCTGCTGAGGTCCCAAGGAGTGACCCAGACTCGGACAGGAACAGCTGCCAGGGATCACGGCAGGCTCAGAATATACAGCTCCTGCCCTCCCCAGTAGCAGCAGGCAGAATCTGCAATCAGATACTATCTATGTGAAGGCACAAATCCATCCCATCAAATGGTATAAAGAGGTATATTAATACCCCAGGCCAAAAGGAAAAAGACAAACACCCAGAAATCAATCCTGAAGGCACAGAAATTTACAATCTAAATGACGGAGAATTCAAAATAGTTATCATAAAAAATCTCAATGAGTTACAAGAAAACTCAGAAACACAACTCAATGAAATCAGGAATAAAAATTAACAAAGAGAGGGAATTCTTCACAAAAGACATTGAAACTATAAAGAAAAAACAACCAGAAATGTTAGAGATGAAAAGCACAATGAATGAGCTAAAGACCTGGAATCCTTATATAACAGAGCTGATATTACGGAGGACAGAATTAGCAATTTATAGGAGAGAAATATGGAAAAGCTTCAGATGGAGGAGAGAGAACTAAGACTAAAAAGAAATGAAGATATTCTCCAAGAAATATCTGACTCAATCAGGAAATGCAACATAAGGATTACAGGTATTCCAAAGCAGAAAGGGAGAATGGAGCAGAGAACTTGTTCAAAGAAATAATAGCTGAGAACTTCCCAAACCTGGGGAAGGAGTTGGAATTACAAGTAAAAGAAGCTAACATAACTCCTAATTACATCAATGTAAAAA